ATAAGTGGAATTTCTTCTTTGTTCATACATAATGCATGTTTGCATGCTGCTGTAAATTCAGGGAGTGTCCTAATGGTAGCTTTCCACTGAAGGAGTAATTACTTTTTAAAGGAAGATATTTTTTTTCCCCTCTAAATTATATAAACATTACAATTAAAAGAGTACTTATTGTGCATATCAAAATTTGGGAACCATAATTTTACTTACAACTGGAAAACGGTTGTGTGTTACTGCTGGGCTTATAGGCAAATGATTAGAATAGTTTTTATTTATAAATCATTTGCTCACTGTGCAGTTAGTGCCTCGAATTTGTTACCACTGGCTTGTCACTGAGAATAAAGTTGACAATCTCAGTTCAGTGCTCAGTGGAAAGCTCCTTAGTGCTAGGATACTGACTGACTGCCTTAACAAAGCATTAAGGGCTGATTCTGTGGGGTAATGGATACTACCTTCTACTGCTTCTAATACTACTACTTCTAAAGCCAATAATTAGGCATGTAGACACACAGTGCTTTGAGAAAAACTAGATGTCTGAAAATCAACTTCTTCCTGAGGTAAACCGAAAAGGATATTTTCATTCTATAGGTTCAGTAATTTTCTGCCAGAAGTTTGAAATGAAATCAAAATGTTCTTTTTTGTTTTTTTTTTTTTTGGTTTTACCACAGTGGAAGAACATTTAGTTTCTGGATTTTATTTAGATTTATTGTTTATCCAAAAATACACTGTCAAAAAAAAAAAAAAAAAAAAAAAAAAAAAAAAAGGAAAAGGAAACATAATAAGATTTTGCCCTTTAAAATAAAGTGCCATTTTATTCTGTTTTATACTTCTTGGCAAACTGTAAAACTAAGTGAAATGACCAACATTTATCTAAGTAGGAAAAAAAAAGTGAAAGTCTATTCAAAGCAAATCTTTTTTACCATAGCTAAGATTTTTTGTTGTTGTTGCTTATATATATTTTAATATATATATATATATAATAGATTTCAAATCCTGAATATGTAAGACTTCCATTCCCAGGATTGCCAGCACAGCACAAAAGAAGAAAATAGTGAGAGAGGCCAAAATATGAATGGCATTCTTTTAAATGCTGGGGTATGAAAAGGCTTGCTGTGTTGTGTTATATTTGTGGGTTTCAAACTGCAACATGCAGATGCATGCACATGAATGATTTTGAGCACGTGAGCTTTAATCCCATTGTAGAAAATAGAACCAATGAAATGTGTAAACTTGCAACACGTACTTATAGTTTGCTAACTGAAGCATAAGACCAAGGTCTGGCATGGTGGCTTACTTTTTCAAAACATCAATAGTTTTTAGCATACATGCGTGAAAAAAATAACTCTTTGGGTTTGCACTCTCTGTTTCTCTTCTTCTGCATACACCTGGGAAAATGGATTTTTAATACATTATACAGTTAATACATTATATATATATTTGAGCTCCATGGATGTTTTCTACTCTAATTATAAGGTTGGTAGTCCTGGTGATGAAAAGCCTGCTGTTGGGTGGACTTGAAATGAGAGACAGAGTGAGAAGGAACACGGCTCAGAAGTGGTTGATTTCCATGTTTGATGCATTCACTAAATAATTCAGTATCACTAATGGAAATTCGATCTCAGCAGAGGAGTGGAGATATGGGGCACTCAGTTGCCAGCGTTTGGCAGCTCAATAGCTTGGGAAAAACAATGGAGCAAAAGGTGAAAAAATCTTTAAGCTGTACTCCAGTTCTCTGTTCTGCTCTCCTGGATTCACATTCTGTCTTTCTGGAGCTGCTGTGGCTGATGGTTAGAGAGACTGAAAGAAAGGACGTGATACTCACAGTGTTTGTGAAGCAAACAAAGCGAGCTCAGACCAAGCTGACCTTTTAACTGGTGCACAAGTGGCTTTTTTTTGCTTTTTGAAAAGCACATCCTCCTTCTAGTCAGCAGCGAGACCCAAATCACCTTTTGGGAGTGAATTACATAAAACCTCATCTTTTGACTTTGTACTCTGAGGCTCAGAGTCAGAGTGTTTCGAGGGCATCTCAGGAAAGAAGTGCTAAGCTCCCATCGGAAGCTGACAAAGTCCAAATGTCTCCTGGTAAAATGATTACCTGAAAGTACTGAAAAGCCCAGCTTCAAAGGGAAGATTTGTTCACATCTTTTAAAATGAAAAAAAACCTTCAGTGACAGGGAATTTATTATGGGTGGCTTTTTACATTTTGGCACTAACATGACATGAGCTTCCTTCCCCAAAACTGCCTCGAACATTTTCAGATAGGAATGCTCAATATCTAACACTTCTGGGTTGCTTACAAGAGCATTTGCATGTGGCATCACAGAAGTCCTTTTATAACTTCTTTACCTCTAGCCCTTAGCTCTCCTTTTTAAAAGAGAATTCAGCCCTATCACTGCTATGGTTTTGTATAGCAACATAGATACATAGAAGTAGCATTTGGGCTTCCACAGCTGCCAGTCCATTCTTCATCTTTTTTTATTTTGTTTTGTATTGTATTGTTGTTGTTTTGAAACCAGCAGCTGTAAATGAACATTGGGGATGTTAAAGACAATTTGGAGGCAAATTCTCCTTTCAGGGTCATCTGTATGTCCAGATCAGAAAAGTAATAATACAAGACTATTTTTTTTCACTATGGACTTTCCTATAGGTTACAGGAAGCTTAGAATAAGCAGTTGCTCCAAAGATCATGTTGGAAATAAAGCTTCGGCAGAAGAGACAAAACAGTAGAGAAGTTCTTGAGATAAATCTCACCAGCTTCACAAATATTTTAATGAAGAAAACATCCCTGTGATAAATGAATGGTCAGAGCCTGCCTTCCATCAAACCTTTTTCTCCATAGCATCCTATTCTTTTCCATCAGGAACCACAACAGGCACCTTTGAGGCAATGATTAATATAGAGTTGGTAAGCTTTCCTTGGCAGAAGTAGTTAAACAGATCCTTCCAAGACAGTTGTACTGACCAACTATCTCACCTCTTTCCACCTCTTCACAACTTCTCTCTCAGTGGCAAAGATTCAGTCAAGAAATTCATGTGTTATACTTAATTAATTTCAAAGGCATCAAAGAGTAGGTAATTTGGAGCAAAGAGTATATCTTGCAGCATTTGAATAGTGTTTTTTGCAGTGCAGTGGAAACTTCAGTTAAGCCTCAAGGTGTCAATGAGACACAACATTAAAACACACTTGCATAGCTAGGAGTTGATGATCCCTATGGGTCACTTCCAACTTGGGATATTCTGTGATTCAATCATTCTACAGCTTTCTGTCTACCAAAGACTGAGATACTTTCTTTTTCATTCTCAAGTGCTTCAGGCCATTTGTCCTCTGAGCAGCTGTGTTGACCTCATCTGCGGTTTTATCTTAGACTTTGAGTCTAGACCCAAGCCATACCACCCCAAACTAATTCCAGTGCATGTAAACTCAGCATCAGAAAATTCATTCATGAGCTGTGGGAAACCAGGTCCGGAGAAAGGCTGCAACCACATTTGCTCAAAGTTTGCTTCTAGGATTTAGCAGACAAATTATGCTCTTGATATTGTGCACCATCTTTGTGAAAAGCTGTTGGTTTCTGCAGAAAGTTTCCATTGTTGGCTGAGAAGCTGAAAAAATTTTCAGTCTTTAGCCAAGGCACAGGTTTAAAAGAACAAATTCATTGACCCATTTTGATGCAATGTGTTTTGGTATTAATCAGATCAGACTTAATCCTCTTCCATACTTTCTCTGTGTTAACTGGACACAGTTGAGCATCTGAAATGTGCTATTGTGGTTGGACGGGGAACCACTGAGGGCTTAAAATGTCAACCACTACCAGGTGTTTTTTGATGGAAGTGCCTTTTCCTAGACGTACGTGGTGCTGGGAGTGCCAGAATTTCATTGAGAAGCCCTCAGAAAGGTGCAAGCTGGCTATCAGGTATCTATTCAGCTTTGCGTAGTCTGAAACATGAACGTGAAGTGTAGTATTGAGTGCTCATTTCCACTCAGCCAGCTGTTAGAAGGAATGTTCTCTCCTTCTCAAGTCACCACTTTACACTGCAAATCAAAGCTGTTGTTTTAACTTACATCACTGTCATTAAATCTGCCAGTGGTGCAAATCCTTAACAACCATGCCAGGACTAAACACATAACTGCGTGATGAAAAGAAGATGCCAAGGTGTGGATGGAAGGGAATAGTTTACTTTACTAAGAAAGACTCCAGGTGGGTGCAATTGCCCACGCTGGGACCAGCAACACAGTGCTTTCCATTGTCACAGATGGTAGGTGTTAGATGATGCAATGCGTACGGTGCCAGACAAATTACTTTTTTAGCTCATTCCTCTGGAAACAGGAGAGGAATCTGAACTGGATTTCTGTGCAAACCTGGAGCAGGAGATGCAAGCTGAGACCCAAGCAGTCAATGGGCTCAGTCTTTCAAATTGAGAGAGAGAATTGCTCTGGGGATCAGGAATTAGACAGAAATTGCCTGGACTTTGGAACAAGTCCACTTTGTTTTAAATCAGGCTGTGGGTTGGGGTACATTCTTATTCAATGCATGTAATGAACCTAAAAGTTGGAAAACTTGGGAAAAAAAAAAAAGTGGAAACCTTGATATAACTCCAGCAACCAGAAGCATTGGAATGCCACGAGAAAAGCTGTTCTTGTGGCATTTTCAGCTAGAACTGAAATTAGATGCTGCTCCCCCCACAACCCAATATTTCCAGTCCAGGTCTAAGTGGGACACTGGAAGTCAAGTTAGAGCTCCCCATACTCCTGCCAACCAAATCCTCTCCAGGCAAGAGCCAGTTGGTGCCCATTAGGAGGCTGTAGCCTCATCAGGGCTGAGTGCGGAGGGGCAGGCAGGGCACTGCCCGGTCCCGATGCGGGCGGGGTCCGCTCTTCCCGCAGCTTGGGCGCCCCGGGAGCCCGGTGTGCGGGCGGAGCGGTCCCGTCCCGCCTCCCGAACCCCCCCCCGGGCGGTGGAGGCGAGGCTGCCCCGCGGGTGACCCGCCCGACGACGCACCCCCGCCGCATCATCACACGAGGGGGCAGCGCGGCCGCTAGCTCTGCCCCGGCGCCCGCCTGCCTCTGCCTCCCTCCTCTCGGCGGCTCGCCGCAGCCCGGGTTCTGTCGAGTCAAAGCGAGGATCAGGTTCCCTGCCTCCAGTATAAAAATCTCAGGGAAGAAATCTCCAGCTGGAGAGAGAGACGGGGAGAGGGAGGAGCGGGGCGTGAGTCGGAGGTCCGTGGGGAAGCGGAGCCGCGGCGCCGACAGCACCCGCAGCACCAGCAGCACCCGCCGCGCACCGGGGACGCCTGCGGCTCGCCCCTTACAGCTGCGGGAGAAGCGCTTCTCGCCGCCCGAAGTAAGTCCGAGGGGACGGCGAGGGCTGCCAGGGGCTGCCGGAGGGACGCTGCCCCCCGAACCCGCTCCTTCGGGCGAGATGCGAAGCGCTTCACCCAATCACCCCGCACCCGGGGATTCTCCCCCGTACCGCCTTGTCTCCTCTGATCCCCCCGCCTCGGGGATAATTGGGGAGCACCTGGCCGAGGGGCGGGCAGGGGCCGAGGTCTGGGGGTGCCCAGCGGTGGTGGGGTGCTTCGGGATCCCCCGTGGGTTTGGCCGCTCCGCTCGGGATGGGGATGTGTTGGAGAGATAAAGGGGGAGAAGGAGAGAGGTGGTGAGGGGATGTGACACAGCGGAGAAGGGAATAGGAGTTCTCTGTCTGATTCAATTTGAGAGGACAGGAGGCCAGCAGTGACCCCAGGGTAGAAGAACTCCTGCAGCTTCCAGGTGCTCTGTGCCAGAAGTGTCCCAGCTGAGACTGTGGATAAGCGAGGTTGTGTTGGACCTTCGGTCTGAGCACTTTACTTCTTTCTATTACTATTATTTTTTTTTCCTTTGTACTTAGCCTTCGTATTTCTACTTTTCTCTCGGTGAAACAACTGAATCTAACCAGTGCTGATTTATTTATAGCTGCTGTTGTTAGTTTGTGTTCTCTTTCTTCTGGAGGGATTGGTTGGGAGAAGGTCCCATTGTACCAATGGTGAAAATACAGTTTTCTCCTATTCAGCACACAGATTCTACAAATGTATTATGATTTCCAATTCTGATGCTTCTGACTCCTTGCTCTCCTTCATCTTCTTTTCTTAAAAACAGAACTTTGTGCAGGGAGAAGGTAATTATTTTTTTGGGACCTTTCCCTCACTTTGATATGCCAGTGGGTGTCACTTACCTATCTCTTCTGTATAGCAAGTGATCCACTTTGGTTGTGAATGTCTACTGTGTGTTAGTTCAGCAGTTTGCTCTGAAGCTGGATTACAGGATGGCAATCCTAGACTAGCAGGTTCTTAGGAGCATTGTGGGAACATTTGCAACATGTTAAATCCTTCTCTGTGAGATAGCCCTGCATCTATGGATACTGGTAGGTTTTTAAATTAGATCCTATTTGCTCTAAATGGCTTGTAGTACAGTGGGGGAACACTACCAGTAGCTCATCAGCTCTTGAACTCGCTGTCATTTCTTTTGTTCCCCTTTGGCCATGACTATTCTAAGCTTTTAGGAAAGCCCAATGTTTTGGTTAACAAATAGAGTAAGTGTATAACTTTGGTTGTATTAGGGAGGAGGAGAGAAGCAACAGAGAGAGGAGTGAAGGGTACAAGAAAAGTCATTATAAAGAAATTCTCATCCTTAACAGTTTTTTCAAAACAATGTGCTTGAGCTGGTGTACAAAGCAGACTTTTTTTTCAAATGTATTCCTGTTTCCTCCCTGAAAAGAAACACTGGAAATAAAATAAAAGAAAAAATACCTCTGAAAAGAATTACCTCTGAAAGGATAAAGGACTGTGAATGTCTGTGACAAAAATTATTAATTTGGTATATAAATGAAAATTTAGAAATGAATGGAGAAGATATTTCAATGAAAATGACAAACAAACCAAAAAAAACCCACAAAAAACCCCACAAAACTCAGCAACATAAAACTTGCTTTGTAATTTAGTTATTTTTCCTTAAAGAGAAGGAAAATGAGGGGATCTAATACACCCGTCTCCAGCTTACACTAAACTCTTTGATGAGTTATTACTTATGAGGCTTTGGATGAAATTGAAGGAGAGAAGCTTACTGATTTTAGCATGCTTCAAAGCAAAATCTAAGATTAAAAAAGAGAAGTTAGCAACAAATCTTTCTTCTACCAATGAGCTATTCTTTGTCTGTAGTGTAGAAGTGGCCTGACAACAGCATACTTCTTGCAATTACCCCTGTGCCTATCAACAGTTCTTTGAGGTTCAGTCTGTAGCTGATATATCTTTGCCAGCTTGCTTGGTTTGGCTATAGTAATAGAAAAGATAGTGGTATCCTGGTACCACACATCTGTATCTTTCTACGCTCCAACTGGCACTAAGGACTCACCTGTGCTTACGTATATTTTGTGTAGGTTCATCCCTCCCTTGCTGGTGCGTGTTATTACTAAGCTGACTTTACAGGCAGTCATGGCTCCAGCATGGTACTTCTCAAGTCATGTGTTTCTTTTTCATGCTAGGGACAGTTATTCCAGAGTCCTTGGATGATAATTAAAAATAGTCTTTTACAATCACTCAACTCTTGCTCTATTTGAGTGCATTTTTTGCAGCAGGAAGATGGGATTATTGTATGTTAAAGTCGAACGCTGGGGCATTAGGAACGGAATGGACGTTGCTCATAAAACTTAGTGCTCTGTTCAGGGGGCCTCATTACCTATACTACAACAGTGGTGTTTTCTGTGGGAACTGGTTTTTAACAATGCAAGCTTTGCTTTGATATTTACAACCTCTTGCTGATCAGTGTATCAAAAGCATTTTCATTGAGAGGATTCATTTCAGGACTTTAATTGAGGAAGTCTCTTTGTTTCAAGCGTCTTTATAATAAACCATTCAAAATGCTGTCTTTGAACAAACTAGGTCACTGTAACGCGCACACACACACAGTGATTCTCATCTGCTTAGGGTAGTCTGCATTTGGTCGACCCATATCCCTGGTGAGATTGTCCCTGATTTATCCTTCTTGGACTGGCTCGTTCACAGGGAGCTTATGCTGAAAATTCACTGCTGGAGGTCATTCTCCATTCTTGGCATCTCTGGCAGCCTTAAGCTTAAATTGCAGCCTCATTTTCTGTCCAATCAATACCACTCTTATGTCACTGAGTTTCCATGGTGCCCCCAATCTTCTGTCTACATATTGATGTCTGACAGCAGGAATAGCATTCTGTGTCGCTATATATACTTACTAAACCTGTCAAAACTATTCAGGGTCTGTCTCACTAATTTATATCCATATCCTGATATTATTTGAATCTGTTGAGCTTTGACTGATGGAACTCACTGCACTAAGAAATCAGCCCCAATAATGCACTCCAGGGATGGCTCAAGGAATGGATGTTTTGAGAAAGGCAAAAAAAGACTCTTCTAGAGTAGCTGGGGCAGTCTAGAATCTTTTGTGCACAATAGATGTATTTGAAAACATCTAAGTCTCAATAGCTCCAAGTTAATGCTTTGGAAATCATTATCCATTGTGCTCCTTTGAATGCATAGGGAGTTCTCTCTGATGGAGCCGTGCAGAGGAAAACAGAAAAGTGGGCATTGTCAAATATTCAGTATGCATTTCAGGAGATTTGGGGGAAATCTGTGTCTGTCCTCTCACATCAGCTTTCTTCAGCAGAAAAGTGGGAAAATGAAACAAAGGGAGTGAGCAATGTTTTCTGTAATGTGGAAGTTTTGCATTTTATCACAATAGCCCACAGAGCTTTATAGTTGTGTAAGAAGCAATGCAACTGTATCTGTGGATTGACACAACATCAACCAAAGAAGTTCAGAGAAGGCTTCTTAAATTCTCAAGACACCTCAAATAATGTTGTTTGTGCCAGCAGTAATACAAACTAAATAAAGACAAGTAGATGGGTGTTTTGTTGTGTTGGTTGTGTGTGTGTGTTTTGTCAGTTTCTTCTTTTTTTATATACAATTAAATATGCCTTGCAAACCAGTGATCTTGTATCATCTGAGGCTGTCATGAGCTGGAGAAACTCTTTTATCTCACTATCTTTATCATGGACTTGATCTATCATATGAAATAAGAGTTGGCAGTCAGTATGGAATATGCTGCTTAAAATTTTATTTGCTCCAAGTTGCCAGAAGAGCTGAATCTCTGATGTCAAGTTCATGATTACTTTTCAGACCCTATTCAAGCTCCAATAGTCTTTTTACTAGTAAAAAAGTAATGATCTCCAAGACATAAAACAACCTGTCGCAGGTGATATTTGACATGATAGTAATAAAGTAGCTCAGTTTTTTAGTAGTGGCTTATCTTAACATGGTAGAAAGGTAGAAAGGGTTTTTGTGAAATTAGACACTCTACTGACCAATGCACTCACTTTATGTTATTCCAAAGGATTGAATCACTGAACTATTTAAAATATTTGGCACTACCTCCTGCAGTGGCACCATGATGATTTATGTTTATAATAAAATATGAATAATCGAATGTTGTGGGGAGAGGTGGTGCTTTTTTTTTTTTTTTTTTTTAAGACCCTTCTAATTTCTCTGCTGGCTTTCGTATGCGAGAGTCACTTTTTAAAAACTGAAATAATCTTGCAGACTGCTTTTTAACATCTTTCAGAGCAAAGATTGAAAGAACACAGCTATAGGCAGTTTCATGGAAGATGAGAAGAGGGAATGTGAATGTAGAAAAGCTGGATGCATTACTGGTGCAGTCAGGTGATTTCACACCCTGCCTCCTCCTCCTCCCCAAAAGCCTCTGCCTTTCCTTGCCTTCCTTGAATAGAAGACTCTGTTTTCTCTACATACAACCTCTGGAGGTGAGGAGTAGAGTTGATTCTGTGTGAGGCAAAATCTGATTTCCTTATGTTGAGTAAAATCTAACATATTGCTTGGCAAATGTGACTGATTCACTGGCAGCTGCAAAGGAGGGGTACAGACAGAGCAGAAGACTGTTACAAGAATTGGAGATTTTCTGATAAAATAGTTTCTGAAATTAAATAGTGTTTGGGACTCCAGCTCATCATCATTTAATAAACGAGGAGGTACAATTTTAAAATGGACCTCACTCCTCTGAGGCCTGCTAGCACTATTTCAAAGCTCATTGAATGTTCTATGAGGGTGTTACAAAAATTGCCATTCCTCATTTAGTTTCTGTAGACTTCCCATGGAGCTTGGACCTTGTAAACATCCCGTTTAATTGTACATGATACCCTCTTCAGATTCCTGCAGGGAGGGAAGATAGAGAAGAGAAATTCTCTAATACTTCAGTCCAAATTCCTGTTTTGGCACTGGTCTGCAGCTAGCCAATATTGTAAATAAAATTGATTTTTTTTTT